GTAACTACTTTAGCTTCTCTGCAATACACGTTCGTGTTCATTTTCTAGTACTCTATTAATCTGCTTGACATGAACTTGATCCTTTGAAACTTGACTTTTGATGAAGTGTGACTCTGAACTGGTGCATTTCTTATTGCCTTGTATTTTTGTCTTTTTTTCTATTACTTTCTGAAACTCTCCTGTGAATCACGAAAACCTTTAGGTTCAGTCCCACAAGCCCTTGTTGGCTTAGACGAACCTGCCTTCTGCTCTTTTGAACTAACACAGCGTAAATAAATTTACTATTACTATTATTTAAAAGGGTAATCATACTGCAAAATTAGCTCATATGAACGCAATTGGTTTGATGTTAGCTCAAAGTAATCAAGAGTAATCAAACGGTGAATTAAGCCGAATTAATGTTTGTTGGGTCAATAGTAACTCGAAATAATCAAGAGTAACAGCAATCAAAATTGAGCTCATGACAGATAAATTGGTGGCGCGATAATTCCAAGTACTTAAAATTGTCACCAATATGTTAATTGGGCGGATTTAAAGCCCATTGGGTGATTAGTAAATAAAAAATAATTATGTCAATTATGCTCACAATAAATCAATTGGTTGAAAATTAGCAGAAAATAATCAAGCGTCACTGCAATCAATGTCAGTTATTCTAAATTAAGATTAATAGGGACAAAAGAGTAATAAAAATTTGAGTCGAGCTCTTAAAAGACCAATTGGTTGAATGTGACCTCAAAGTAATCAGAAGAGTTACCAAATTGTGAATTAGAACAAATCCATTGGGTCAAGGTAACTCAAAGTAACCAGAAGAATAATCATAATATACATTAGGTTCATAATAAATACGTTCGTATGAAGATAAGCTCAAAGTAATCACAAGAGTCATCTCAATGTCATTTCGGTCGAATTCAAGTCCGCTGCATTAAAATTATCTTGAAGTAATCAAAAGTAATAATAATGTGGACTGTGTTCATTATAGATCAGTTTGAGGTATAATAAGAAGAAGTAATCGAAAGAGTAGCCAGAATGTCAAATCCATTTGGTCAATAGTAACTCAAAGTAATCAAACAAGTAATTGTGATGTCAATTGAGCTAATAATCAATAATTTTGTTAAATATTAGCCAAAAAATCAAAACAGTCATCGCAATATCAATGAGGCACAATTAAAGTCCTTTGAATTGAAAGTAACCCGAAGCAATCAAGACTAATAATAATGTATGATTGAGCTCACAACTGATAAATTGGCACTATAATTACACAAAGTAAACAAGTCACCAAATGTCACTTAGGCCGAATTAGTCAATTGAATTGAGAGAAACTCAAAGTAATCAAAAGAGCAATCATAATGTCAATAATCATCACACAAAAATTCAATTCGTTGAAGATGAGCTAGAAGTAATGAAGAGTCATCACAATGACATTTAATTCGAGTTTATGGCCACTGGGTAAAAAGTAACTCGAAGTAATCAAAAGAGGAATAGTAATGTCAATTGAGTTCATTATAGATCAATTCGAGCAATAATAACACGAAGTAATTAAAAGAGTAATCATAAATTACAATTATAATTATATCATCTGAACTGTAACAATGTTAAGCCGAGTAATAAGAAAGGTTAAACAAAACATCCATTCAGCTCAAATAAATTCGAGCGCGCCACAATAACTCGAGGTTACAAAAAGAGTAATCAACATAACAATTAAGCCTCGTCAATAGTGGGACTAGTAACGCCAAGTAATTACAATAGTGATAAAATGATCACTTGTCCCCCAAAAATCTAATTGTATAAACAAATATTCTAAGATGTTTAAGCAAAACACGACCACTGAAGACAATGAGAGCATTTATATATTGTGGATTAAATTGACTGACCCCGGGATTAAATTGGGTAGCTTAAGGATTAAATTATGTGGCGCTTGGATTAAATTATGTGGCGCTTGGATTAAATTGGCCGTCGCCTGGATTAAAATGAGCAGGAAATCTTGTAGTTGCAATGTTCATGACATTGCAGAGGCGTACTGGTCGCAGTCTGACCCAATTATCTTGGTTTTAAAAGCGCACAAAAGACGAGGACAGAGTAAGAAACACAAACGACGGACGAGCGCTCACTCGCAACTAATAGGTTTTATTGGAACCTCAGAAAACACAAAAGGCATCCCCCCCCCCCCCCCCCCCCCCCCAGATCGCTCATGCGCACCGCAGCTCCTTGTTGTCAAACTATACATCTTAAAAACTGTAAAATCACGATGTTTAGCTTGTTGACACGTGTCGTTGTCTTTAGAAACGCCAACTCAGCTTCAGTCAGTGCAAGGGAGGCTTCGCTTATGCATCCCTCTCCCCGAGAAGCTATCTGAAAGGCCTCCAAGATCTCTCTCGCCCTCTGTTCTTTATACGTGCCCAAAATATTTGTGTCACCGAACGCTGGAGAGCAGCCGCACCTGTCACAGTGGACCGCCAGGTGGCCCGACGGAGTCGCTCGAAGAGAGGCACGGTGCTCCCTAAGCCTTTCACTAACACAGCGACCAGTTTGGCCCACGTACACTTTGCCACGGGATAGAGGAATGCAATACACCACACAAACCCGACATCGATCAAAACAGTTCACATGTTTTTTTCCACAGGAAAATTCACCCCTCTTCTTCCCCTCCCCCGACTCTCGGACTCTCTTATACAATTGAAGTAATTTGTTGGGAGCCTTAAACACCACCTCTACGTCATACTGCCGCGCGCGCAGCTAGCCAAGTAGGCAGCGCGCGCGTGGCCTAATGGTTATCGCGCTTGCCTCCCACGTAGAAGGCCAGGGTTCGATTCCTGGCCGCGGCTACACATTTTTGTTGACAGTGTAATTTGATGTTCTGGTGAATTCAAGAACCTTCTTGCTGATTCGAGGTTAGAATATTCTACGCGTCGAACTTTCTACGCCGAACGATCCAGAAACCCACGAGGGTACATACGGGATTCCGCAAGGCGAGCGGAGTCAGTCTCGCCCCAGCGTTCAACTCTGCTGCCACGCCGACTTCGACGCCCGCGACGCTCTATTATTATCTTTTGTACTCTTTTATTTTTGGCACAAGTTCGCCACATTAAACGTTTATTTCTTCCTGTTTATTTCCTGTTTTTTTTGGTCACCACCCGTGACAATGCCGCCTCGCAACATTCTTAACATTGTGCGAAACACCGTGGAGGTACGGGAGCACCACCGTCTCTTTGACCTTTCCCGTGGTGCCCAGCTGACAGGACCTTTCAAACCCTTAATCAGCCCCGCCGACACTGAAAGGTCCTGTCAGCCGGGCACCACGGGAAAGGTCGAAGAGACCGGTGGTGCTCCCGTACCTACACGGTGTTTCGCACAATGTTAAGAATGTTGCGAGGCGGTATGACGTAGAGGTGGTGTTTAAGGCTCCCAACAAATTACTTCAATTGTGTAAGAAGGTCCGAGAGTCGGGGGAGGGGAAGAAGAGAGGTGAATTTTCCTGTGGAAAAAACATGTGAACTGTTTTGTTCGATGTCGGGTTTGTGTGGTGTATTGCATTCCTCTATCCCGTGGCAAAGTGTACGTGGGCCAAACTGGTCGCTGTGTTAATGAAAGGCTTAGGGAGCACCGTGCCTCTCTTCGAGCGACTCCGTCGGGCCACCTGGCGGTCCACTGTGACAGGTGCGGCTGCTCTCCAGCGTTCGGTGACACAAATATTTTGGGCACGTATAAAGAACAGAGGGCGAGAGAGATCTTGGAGGCCTTTCAGATAGCTTCTCGGGGAGAGGGATGCATAAGCGAAGCCTCCCTTGCACTGACTGAAGCTGAGTTGGCGTTTCTAAAGACAACGACACGTGTCAACACGTAAACATCGTGATTTTACAGTTTTTAAGATGTGTAGTTTGACAACAAGGAGCTGCGGTGCGCATGAGCAATCTGGGGGGGGGGATGCTTTTTGTGTTTTCTGAGGTTCCAATAAAACCAACAGTTGCGAGTGAGCGCTCGTCCGTCTTTTGTGTTTCTTACTCTGTCCTCGTCTTTTGTGCGCTTTTAAAACCAAGATGAATAACTACCAACTAGCCCAACTTTCCGCCCTACTGCGACCCAATTATACTCGCACAGACCGCGACTGATTCAGAAGCTTCTTTGTCGCCGTAGAATTGCGAGGATAAAAGGGGACTATTTATTTTAGTCTTGCCTTCGCAAAGATTGACGACGTAATTGCGGGATCAAAACCACCCGCCTGTCGACAGTCGCGCGCGGCTCATGCATTGGACACGAGAACTGCGTGAGCACTCGACTTCGGCCCGTAACAATCAAGGCCTCGGCGGACATTCGGGTAGTGGCTCGTGTCCAACCGCTGCGGTGATGAGAATAGCCGAACTCTAACAATGCCTGGCGCAGCAGGCGTTTTCTACTTTTCCAACTCCAGCGCGTGGGTATTAATAACGTTGGCGGCATAGGATAGGCACCAGGCCACGTGGCCGCTTGTTCTGGCTCCGAGTTGAAGGGATGAACGGTGCTAATATTTTTGGAATTTATTTGGTGACTGTCATTTCCCAGAAAGAAAAGCTAATGCAAGTTTATTCAGTTATTAACGTTATGGAGTGATTCTAAGTAGTATTTAGCAAAAGTCGACAAATCGTTTCACAAATGCGCTTTAAGTACTTCAGTTTCACTTGAATTACCACATTACCTTTTGAGTGTAACCCAAGCTGGCGCAAGTTCAAAAGTAGGCACCTGAAGAAACTAGTTTTGACTTTTATTTTTAAGTTTATATGATAGACAGAACCTCTTACTCGACACATCTGAGGTGGAGCTGGACACTGCAATCCCGCTTACAAGGTTAGCCCATTTGTTGAATTCATTTAACTGATATTTCTCTTGAATGTAGCTGGTTTATTGTATTAGATATTAAAACAGAGGCTACTTCTTATTATACAAAAATATTGTGAAAGGTTTTACAAATTAATATTGGGTGAGTCATATTACTGTGTAAATAGTGATAATGTTATTTTGACATCCAGGGAGGCATCAAGGCGGTCGTCTGGACGGATGTGGTGCAAATGATTCTGATGTATTCTGGTTACGTCATGGTTATTATATCGGTGAGCTATTTTCATGTACGTTTATAACAATTTTTTCAGCTGTAAGATTTCTTCTTTCGTGAGGTTGAGCGTTGAGGAACTTATTTTGTTACTACTGTACTCAGATGAGAAATTAATTACAAATCGATTGTAACATGAAACCAGAGAAAGCTCTAGACTGTTAGAAAATAAAAAGGGCGTGTTGGTGATGAAAGCACATTTGTCATATTTATTATGTCTAAAAGAATTGCGCCACACGTCCGACATTCTTTACAACTTTCGGCATATATTGATTGCGGTAATGACGAATTGAAGAGTAATACAAAAAGTACGAATGATTATGATTCGTATCGTCTACCGAGCTTGTAATGTTTGAAGGAGGCCTTAGTAATGTCAGCTTTGGATTTTTTTTTAAAATGAAACTCTATTAGGTTAGTTTCCTTCTTGCTCTTACCTGGCTCCTCTTACAGGTGTTTCTACAACACATAAATTGCGTGATTGTTTTGTTAATTTGAGTACGGACAGAGAAAAATTGTTAAATTGAATAGCTGAAGAACTTGATGTTTCAATGATGCACGTCTATAATTACAAATGTACTAATAAAAATATGCTGGGTAGTGGACCGTGCCTTATCTATGAAACAAACTCTACGATACCACCGAAAGAAAATTTCGGTGGCTCGAAACCTTATGGCTGACATCACGTCAAAATAAACATGAAAAAGTACGCCATTTCACAAATTGTGTTGGAACTCTGCTATTTTAAATTGTAGTTGAGATGTTTATTGATTTGCTGCTCCCAGACTTTTTTATGTGGCTTCCCTTGGATTCATTACTCTTTTATGGCGTGTAATCATCTTTGTAATCCTCATTTCTTTAAACTCAGCCCTTCTTTCAAGAAAGTTGAATAGAGTGTTTACAACTGGCTTTATAATAAAATGTTCATCCATCATAGGGACTTCACCACCTTGGAGGCTTCACGAATATGTGGAATCTTGCCGAAGAAGGTGGCAGAATCATCTTTTTGAAGTAAGTTAACAGTTGTTAAACTTGCAACCCTATTAAAAAAATTCATTTTTATGAAAAATTTTTGTGTCCAATAAACACATATGAATCATACAAGAAATATAAGAACATTGAAGAACCATATAAGAATCATATAAGACCTATATAGGAACTATATAAGATATATAAGAACATACAAGAACCATTAAAGAAATTTGTGAGAAGTTTCCTCTAAATTTCTTTTATGGTTCTTATGATGATGATGATGATGTTTGGGGGTTTTATGGCGCAACAGCTACGGAGGCCATACTGCGCCAAACAAAATTTAAGAAACCAGCTGTTGTTGTTAACAAGCTACAGAATAATAATTCACGAATGCTTCACGTATGGCCGTTTCTAGGCGCACCAAACGATCCAAGGTGGATCGTCCTCGGCGGATCCCGCACTGACTGTTATCCAAAATGCTTTCCTTTTCTAGAACGTACACCAGCCGCCTGTTAATCAATCTTTCACATGTTTTCCCTTTTCCCTTTTCCCCCTTTTCCCTAGCCTTTTCCACAGTGAATTGAAGAAATTAAGAAGGGATTCGAGAGATTCTGAAGAGAGATTACGCAGCATTTCGTTATGTAGTCTATCGGGTCCAGGAGCAGAGAGTTTTTTTATATCAAGGGCACTCTTTAGCTCGTACTGTGTGAAGGGCTGATTATAAAATTCAGCGTTTGATCCCGTTGTAATTATATTATGCTGTTCTGCACGTCGTTTAAACAACTTGAAGGAATCAGAATAACTAGAGGAGCTGGTCACAGAATAAAAGTACTCCCCAAGGACGTTAGTTGTATCTTTCAGTGAAGCAGATGGAGGATTGAAAACGGGAATCCTAAACCCCCTGTAGTCCCCTTGGATTCTCTTGAATCTATCCCAGACCTCCTTAGCAATTACAAAACTGCTCAGAGACGGCACATATTTAATCCAGGTTTTCCGTTTCGATCGCTTACGGGTCAACCGCGCTTTAGCTTTTCGTTTTCTAAACTCAACCAGGTTTCTTGAGGTGGGATACCGCCTGAACTTGCCCCATGCCTTATTTTGCTCCGTGCGCGTCGTGGCACACTCCTTATTCCACCAAGGTTTGCACTTACGAGGCAGATTACCGGTAGTTTTGGGGATTGACTGATGAGCGGCTTTAATTATCTGCTCTGTCACATAAAACGTGGCTTCATCCGCAGTCATGGAGAAAAACAAGGATGCATCCAGCGTGGAGCTTAACTTGAAAAGAGACCAGTCGGCTTTGTCTAACTTCCACCGAGGCATTCGTTTTAGCAGAGTGGGAAGACAAATGTCGCTCTCTAAAGTACTAGGAAAGTGGTCACTCCCAAAAGGGTTATTAAGAACCTGCCAAGAAAAACAAGGCAGTAATGAAGGTGATGCAATAGATAAATCAATAGATGTAAATGAATTGTGAGCTGAACTAAAGAATGTAGGCTCCCTTCTATTAAAAAGACATATTTGAGAGGATAGTAAAAACTGCTCAATTACTCTGCCTCGAGAGTCGAGACAAGTACCACCCCACATAGGATGATGGGCATTAAAATCACCTAAAATTAAAAAGGGTTGAGGAAGTTGTCTCACGAGTCCCTGGAGCTCAGAGAGATGGAGGGGAACAGTCGAAGGCAAATAAATAGAGACAACCGTTATAAGGCGGTCTAAAAGAAGACTTACCGCTACGGCTTCCAGTGGGGTGCAGAGTGGTACCTCGGAACAGGCAACCCCACTCTGTACAATCACTGCCACGCCCCCAGAAGTGGAATTAACACGATCTTTACGAAAAACTTAATGACGCCTTAAAATCTGTGTATGACGAGCTTGGAGACGAGTTTCTTGTAACGCGAGGGCAATAGACCGAAGATCATCCATAAAATAGTTAACGTCATCAATATTGGGTAAAAGACCACGACAGTTCCACTGCATAAAATGCAAATTCTTCATTTATCTAAGAAGGTGAAGTGTAAAATTAAAAAGAGAGACGCAATGAAAAAATTGAGAGTGAAATTAATAGTTATTTGGAGGGGACCACTGGCTTTTTCCCTTTAGACTTCAAAGTCTGCCACTCCATGTCACCCTCGTCGGATGAAAGAGTGGGTGACTCTGCGGTATCATCCATCGCCTCTATTTCTGGAGGCGAGCCTTTACCTGAAGGTTTTGGCTGGCTCGTTGCACGGGGTGGCTTGCCCCGGCCACGACCAGCCGAAGAGGAACTGGAGGTGCTGGCCAGAGTGTCCTTCAACACTGCCCTCTCCGGCCCCTTGGGTACTGGGGGAGCGGCAAGAGGGTTGTGCCGCTCTTTCGAAGAGGAGGTCCTCTCTGAGGAGGTCGGGCATGAGCTTCGCCCCTCTCCCCGGGAGAGGCCCGCGATGTGCGGACAGGTGCGGCATTCGCCGGCCTGTCTAGAACCAGCGAAGCAGCATGTGCACTCCCTCCATGAAGAGGGGGGCACTGCTGCCTTAGCTGGGGGGTTGGGGCCCTGAGGGCTGCCTCCAGAACGTCAGGAGAGACCTGGGTAGCCCTCGACTCCGAGCGTGTCACAAGACCCCTCCGTGCCACGTCGGCGTATTCCTTCAACATAAAGGAATACCTTTTCTTTGCTTCGCTATAGCTGATATTTTCTTTGGCTTTAATGGCAATGATTTCCTTCTCTTGCTTCCATATGGGACAGCCACGATAGTAGGTAGGGTGTGGTCTATCGCAATTAACGCAGTGGGCAACATTCTCACAAATGTCAGAGGCGTGATCTCGACTGCCACACTTTGCACAAGTCTCCTTCCCTCGACAGCAGCGCGCTCCGTGACCAAAACGCTGGCAACGGAAACACCGCTGGGGGTTGGGGACATAAGGGCGGATGTGGCAGTTGAGGTATCCAGCCTTGATTGTTTGTGGTAGTGTATGCCTTTCAAACGGGAGGATGACGTGTTTTGAAGGGATTTCTTCACCATCTTTTCTGAACATAATCCGTTTTACGGCGACAACGCCGGCATCTTGGAGTCCCTCGAGGAGTTCTTTCTCACTAGTGTGCAGGACGTCATCCTCAGAGAGGACTCCACGGATGGTGTTAAGTGTGCGATGAGAGCTCACCGACACTTTCACGTCAAGTATGGTGTTCAGCTTGAGCAGCGCTTCACTTTGCTTTTTCTTACTTATCTCAACTAGAAGGACTCCTGAGTGGAGTTTTTTTAGCCTTGTAGGAAAACCCTACAAGGTGTTCAAGTACTTTGGCTACGACAAATGGTGATAGCTTTGACACAGGTTTCTGTTCATCGAGGGAATGAACAACGAAAAACTTCGTGAAGTTTTCTATCTCTGGTTCTTTTTCAATAGTTTTGTGCTCAGGACAGCGCCTTTTAACGGCTTGCCCTGAGCGGGGTTTGGAAGAGAGGGGCCCCATAGGGGGGCAAAGAGTGTTCGGAATCCGCGGTGCACCGCCCACCACCGAGCCCAACAAGGGGTTAGGTAACGCACCATAACAAGAAGGGCTTGGCTGGAGACGTTACGCTAACCGTGCTGCCGGGAAACTATACCCAAGTGTGGGTCAAGACAGAGGTCCATCGCCACCCATGGTTAGCCCTTGCCGCCAAAGAGGGGTGAAAAGGGAGTAGGAGAAATGAGAGAGAAGTAAAAGAAACAGGAAAGGTAAAGGTAAAAGATTGGAGGGGATGGTAGAAGAAAAGGCGACTAGACTGAATCATCCTGGCCGGGCCTTACCAGGACTCCCGTCTACGAGAAGCGGGGGCCGAAGTGGTGTATTGCCTCACCACCCCGAAGGGTCCAAACCTACCCCGGGCTCGGCTTAACCACCAGGATGCTTTTTTCCCCTGACAAGGAAAAGCCACGCACAGCCAGACGTGGGCGGGCGAACCCGCATGGCTCGGGGTCCGTGGAGACGCCACTCTCCAAACACCTGCTTTCACAGGTGCACCCTGCGGGGTATGATTCTTATATGCTCTTATATACCTTATATAGTTTTATATAGTTCTTATATGGTTCTTATATGTTCTTATATATCTTTATGATTCATGTGTGTTTATTGGACACAAGAAATGTCTCATACAAATGGCTTTTTCACTAGGATGAGCATCGTACCGGCGTGCGGTCGTGTATCACTACTGCGTGATGCACATTAAAGACCCCAGATTAGCGGTTGTACCGCACTGGGTAAATTTCTCATCTACAGCTGAGACACCAGACGCCCACTGAGGCAGACTCACTTCCGGCTGTATGAATATACACACAACAATAGGAAAGCACGGTGAATGTCCGAAAATGTCACTGTTCAACTGACGCAAGTTCGTTAATATAAAATACAATCAAGACATTCTACAAGCATTGCATGGCAATTTATGGTAATGTTATACATAGTTACGAAGAAACCTTGCGTGTCTTTTGTCGTTACCTCTTTTTTGTATTCACGTAGAAGTGGACTCGAGAACTCGCCATGAGTTTTCTCATCACTGCTTACAATTAACTCGACTTTGTGAAGTTGGCCTGTTATATTCAGTCCCATTTACTGGTTCTACTCGCGAATCTGTTTGTGACGGCTCTTCATTTCTAGCATTATTATTGAAACGCCCCTTACTGCCCAATACGCTTGTCGTAATCGATCGGAGCTTTATATATGATGTCGCTCTAAAAGTGTGACACTTGAATGAACCAAGCAAGCTACTGCAGTATTGCGCCATTTTCAGTTACAATATTTGCCCAATGCAGCCTCAGCCCCAGCGTGTTTGAAACGTACACGACCTGGAACGTGCTTCTGGGTTTGATTGTGCTCTGGATGTCAGCTTACTGCGCGACCCAGACACAGGTTCAGCGATACACAAGCATCGGTTCCCTGCGCGGCGCAAGGAAGTAAGTAAAAACCTTGCGCACTCTTAGCGCATTGGAATAATTGTTAAACGGCCCCTTACGTATGACGCTGCTACTTCGGGGTGCAGTAACAGCCTCTACCCCTCATAAAACATGGAGCGTAAATTTTTATTACAAATCTTTGTTTAATTTATCATTATACCCTTAAAGCGCGCATAGGAATTTCCATAAGGGGGCAAGTGCTAAATCATCAATTTAAAACAAACATAAAAGAAAAACAACGCAGGTGTTACGGTTGCTATGTGTTTAAGTAAGTGGTGAAAGAATCTCTGAAGATAGAGGATTCTTGAATGATTACAATGTTATCATGAAGGAAGTGCCGTTTGTATCTAGACAGCCAAATTGGAACTTTTAAAAAATATATATATTTTCCGTAGGGTGAGTAAATGAATTTTTTGCGAATTATCTGTACGCGCGAAAATGTGTGCTGCAACTCGGCGATACATTTTTCTCCTCGATGGGCAGTGGTAATATGACGTGTGTAATGATGTAAATCTTGAAATTGTTCTTCTGTCTGCGAGAGGTGGTAGTCCAAGTTCCTCTTTTAGTGCGGTAATGAATGTGCGCGTGTAGTTTTTTTTAGAATGAAGCGTTGGAGTTTGTTTTGAACCGATTCAAATTTTGTGCCAAATAAGACTGATGAGGGTTCCATGTACTGTAGCGTATTCAAGTTGAGGTTGAATGAGTGTGGTATGTGCTTCAAGCTTTGTTTCCCTGTTGGCTTTTTCCCTGTTGGCTTTATGAAGATCTCATGCTCGAAAACCGAGGCTTTGGTTTTTCTTCTCCACATAAGCGATTAATGTGCGCTTCCATAAAGATGTTTGATCTGAAATAAACTCTAAGAAGTTTATATGGATGTAGATGTTCAAGAGACATATTAGAGAGAGTCTAGGTTGTTAAAATCTGTGTTGCTTGTGTTGCTGAATACTGCGATAGCCTTTATAGGAACTTCCCATCGGAATTCTTGGCGTCCACTTAAAAGAGGAGTCAAACGAACGGTTATTGACATTTTCTGACAGTTACAGTTTGGTAGAGTGTTGCGCAGGAAACTCTATTTTACCTCTCGGGCAAGAGGTGGTGGGCGCGCTCGCGCAGCATCTTGATATGTTTGTACTTGTTTAGCTAAAAGCGTAAAATGTGCCAACGTATGAGGCCGGTGCCCTCTGCCGCCCTTGGAAGAAAATGGTGGCGCAGCACCCTTTTCGAAAGGGCGCGCCCTCTACTAGCTGCTGCTCCGATTCTCCAAGTCCGCCATTGTGCGGGCATGTACTCTGAGCAGGCGCTGGACACCAGTCCTACGTCAGCATTCGGATAGGACTCGGGTCCAATCACGCGCCTTGTGACCAAGAAATGATGACTATGCCAACGTTTCTCATTGTACTTCTGAAAAGGACCCATGCACCAAGATACGGAGAGAGAGAGAGCAGGAGACGAGAGTGCTAGGGTACGTCAGAACATCGAACTTTGGTTGGAAGGATTAGTGGGTAGACCTAAAGCTAGCTAGCAGCTTTTGTCTCCACTGCACTCGTCAAACGCGTTAGGAAGCAGACGGCGGGCGTCCAGAGTTCGGCTCTCGCATTCGAAGGCGTTCGATGAGCGCAGAGGAGACAAAGGCTGCTAGCTAGCTTTAGGTCTACGCACTAATTATTCCGACAAGTCTGATTATGCTGGAAAAAGCGGTGAAAAAACTGCATCGTGACGTCGCCGGTGGGAGGAGCCTAATCTCGATCGCCAACAAACTGCATCGAAAGAGAACTGCACCGTGACGTGTCCGGTGACGTCGCCGAACTGTGACGAGTGAGTTAAAACTACATCGTTTTTTTCTCCCTGCAGAGAATTTCGGAGAATCGCAAAACTCGGCAATGAAGGCTTCAAGAAAGCAATACTCTTAAGTATCCGAAACGTATAGTGCAGAGCAATTTAATTAAACTATTTTTTGTTGAAATCTGTCGCATGAAATATTTAGTTCACTTAAGTTACAGAAAAACTATTAGCATTAGCTGCAGCCCTTTATTTTGCGCAGACAGGCAGTCATGGCCGACAACACGAAGAAGCGGAAGTAAAGTCCTCGCGTGTCGGTCCACCAGATTAGCCTTCTGAACGACTTTTTGACAGGAAACCAAGTTTTAGTGAGGGCCGCCACTGGCAGTCCTTTTACCAAGCCTGAGCGAGACGAGTTGTGGGACAGAATTGTGGACGAGCTGAATGCCCAAAGCCCGTCGATCATAACACGAGCAGAATGGAAGGACCACTGGAACACTCGTGTGTGCCACGCCCGAGCACGGGATTTGGATATAGCGTGTGCTGCTCGGCTGTGTATCCCTACTGCGTGGTGCACGTTAAAAACCCCAAGCTAGCAGTCGTACTGCATTGGCTAAATTGCTTATCTGCAGTAGGTAACAATTTAGCCATGTTCAGGCAGACTAACCTCCTGCTGTATAAACAAATAATGACAAATTTGACTTTTTGACTTTGTTTGACTGCGTTAGTGCAACTTCCCTCGTGCTGCGCGAGAAAGAAAAAATGTTCCTTCGGGGGTTAAATTGTCGGTGAAGTAGGAAGCAAAAAAGAAGAAAAAAGAATATTTCTCTCAAGTGGAGTTCGTAGTAGAAGAGGAGGGAAAAAAATAAGTTGGTTAGTCCCACGGTGTGTATGGTATTTTCTTTATGTGCATGTTTATACTAGTTAAGCTGTTTACCTGAAGTAGTTGCCTTAAATTTAAATATATATATATATATATATATATATATATATATACTGTATATATTTATATATGATATGCACCAGGGGGCTATCGATATGGAAGGGCACGCTTCACGTCGCTCCCGACATGTGATTCCCTATCTCAGGCACCAGGCCTGATACACTCACGAGATTTTCACTAGAGGTTTCTGACCACCATCCGAATCAGTGAGCTGAATTTCGCTCGATTCCGAGCATTTCCTCCTACTTTTTTGAACCCCGCAAGTTTCGAAGCGGCGAGCTGCCACGTTAGGGTTAGCGCGGCGTCCGGCTCGGCGGCCGGTGGGCCGCATCTGCCTCGGCTATGGCGTCATCGCTCATCACACCGGCGACACTGGAGCTGCCTTCCTGTGATTCTGCGCCACCAGTGCCGGCAAGTATGCACGACGGACATGTCACTACGGATATTCAACGCATGGAAGAAGACCCGCCTGCGCTACGCAGTCGCTCTCATAGTAGAAGCCGCAAGCGCCAGACTTCTGCTCTTCATGAACAATCGGATGACTCTTTCTATGTCAACCAAGGCTTACAAGCGGAGTGGACTGCCCGCGATCCTTTACCCGAAGATTTCACCGGCTTCTAGGTGAAGGCTACGACCAGAACTCAGCGTAGAGCTCAGCTCAAGGCCCAGGGACAGCCCCAACCCCCCCTCAACCGCAAGGCCCGTGCCACTCTCGGAACACATGTCAAGTTTCAGCCTACGGAGCGCTGCGACGTATCGCGCTTGGATCCGGAAGACCTACTCGCCGCCGTCAGCTCCTTCGCGACTGACCCCGAGCTCCGCAGGCTTCAACTTATGCGAGTGAGTACCATGTCCAACGCCGTCACCGTTACTGCATGTGACTCCAAGCAAGCCGGGCATATTCTGCGTACAACCAGCCTTCCACTGAAAACCCAGCACCCTCTTCCGGTCCGAGCCTATCAACTTCCCAATGAAGGAAAGGAATCTCGAGAGGCGTGATTCATGGGTGCAAACCAAACGAATCGCCGGAGAAGCTTCTCTCAGCCCTGCACGCGGACGGAGTGCATATTCTCTCCGCCCGCCCGATCGGTTCCAGGGGCACTGCCCTAATTATTTTTGCCTCCCCTAGACCGCCCAGTGAGGTAACCTACTGGCATTTCCCCAGGCGTGTTGAGCGGTATGAGCAGCGCTCCCTTGTGTGTCAAAGGTGCCACAAACCGGGCCACGAGGCAGCCGTCTGCCCAGCTGAAAAGCCCGTCTGTGCCAACTGCGGGAACCAACACGATCACGCCCCAGAGCAGTGCCCTTACGCTGACGACAAATTCTGCGTGCGTTGCAACGACTGCCCGGCCCGCGCTCAATTCGCCCAGAAAGTGAAGGAACGCGAAGAGGACAAACAGGAACGGCGCTCGCGTAGCCGCACTCGCCGCAGCCGCCGCCGCCGGTCTCGCAACCCGAAGGTCGATTCCACTGCACAGCCCACTTCGCGTTCGCCATCTGAGACGCGAGAGTCCCAGTTTCTACCGCCACCACGTGTACTGAGTAAGGTACGGCTACAACCCAACCCCCTCACGTACGCAACGGCTGTTGCATCTCTACCTGAATTAGACACACCAGCAACCCTCACGGAAGCACAAATTCAGCTCATCCAAGCGGCGCAGCAAAAAGACAAAGAGGAATTTCAAGCAGTTCTTGCCCGCATACAGCAGCAAATTGCTGAACTCCAACGACAGTACAATAACCGCCAGAAGACAAGGGACGGTCAAATCCTGGCTTTAAAACGAAGGCTTGCCGTGGAGACAGAACAGTGCGAGATCGACGTGGTGGGGCGTGCCAAACGGCGCCAGTCTCACTCCCCCGGCCGAGCGCGCTGCGAAGCTGCTGAATCTCCGGCCCCTACAAAGCAGGCCCGTCAGGAACTACCTCAAAGGCTGCCGACTCCGGAAGCACCTCCAGCGTCCCAAGACCCGCCAAAATGGCTACAAACATTTCAGCAGCAACAGCAAGCCATGCTACAACAGCACCACCAGCAAACCCAACTCCAGCTCCAGCTGCTCATTCAGCTCGTCACCCCCAAGTTGACTTCCGCTGCACCTCCACCACCATCACCGCATCAACATGGACCCGCCAGCCAACTCTCCTAGCGACGCGAGCGCCCACCGGGAGGGCCCTCCATAAAGCGGATCGCCCGTGAAGAACGCCCCACGTCCTGCAGTGGAATTGCTGCTCCCTTAGACAGAGCGCCACGGAGCTCAATGAGCTTTTCCGCCTCATTGGC